GGAGGCTGCCCCGCTGCTCCGGCCCCGAGGCGGGACCCGGCGGCTCCTGGCTCCCCGCCCGCTGTCCTCGCCGCGATGCCCCGGCTCTGCTCCCGGAGGCTGGCAGCGCCGCGCGTCCCACTCTCGAGAGACAGATATCTAGTAGAGGGGAGCGATCAAACAGAGGCGCGCAAGGGCTGGCAGGCTGGGTTAATGGGCTCAACACTGCCACTGCCTGACACAACCGCGGCAGTGTTGGGGGGCAGGGGAGGTGCGAGCTCTCCCCGCCCTCCCCCTTCAAGCCCTCTCGCTCCCACGCAGGATGAAAAGTGTGGGGCAGCCGCAGGTTGCTGGGGGCAGGGGTGGGGAAGGGCACGGAGGCTAAGCAGGCGCCCCTCATTCTTGTGGGAGTTAGCTTAATCCAGCGGTTTGAGGTCTTTTTCGGCTGGAGACGTGCCCTCCAACCCTCCAGAATGCCAGCTCTGAGTTTTCACTCGAGTACGGGGGGGAAAAAAAGACTAAAGCACTTCTTCTCCCATAGAGATTGGCATGGGGCAGGAAGTCTTTAGCACACCGGAGTCCCATCTGAAATCTCTGGGTTTAGCTTGCGAATCCTGGCTGCCCACCAAAGGATCGCGAGGCACCGCAGCACGCTGGCTGAGAATCACTGATTTAGGGAGACTTCGGGTTCCTCTGCAATAAAGTTCCTGTTGAATTTATTCTGGGAGCCTATCTTGCTTGGGTGGCAGCACTGGGCTCCCCTCCCCTCAGCCATCCCAGGCTGCGGCTGCCGCCCTAAGTGGTTAAGGAGCTTTGGGTGCAAGCAGCTTCTTACTTTTACACTAAGGGCTAGCCACAGCTGCACTCAACTCTACCAGTTGAAAAACACTGGCATCATTTTCAGTCCAGCATATGCAGCACAAGACAAGCCACTGCTATTGCCTGGTAGTACTCCACCACCGAGCATGCATGTCCAATATGGGGATGATCAGGTCATGTCAAGAAACCAAACCCCGCTCTAAACGGGCAGTGTCGTGAAATAACAGGCCGTCTAAAGCCAACACCAAAAGATAGCTTGTACTTGCTGGTGGTCACCGTACGGATTCATAGGGCTGTGCGACACGGTGTTTCAAGGCTGTTTCAAAGTCCTTTGTTTCGATTCAACGTTGCTGTTTCCAGCTCAGAATGAGTTGAAGCAGCGTCGAATCGAAACAGCCGGCGAAATTTCGCACCGCCCTACCGCCCGATACCAGAAGAAAAGTAGTGAGCCAAAAAGAACGATCACAGCAGGTGGAAAGACCCCTGGACATCCATCCTGTGGTCACCAAATGGTGCGGAAGAGATGGGTGACCAGTACCGCACCCTCAGACGCTACGGCTGACCGTGTGACCGAGGTTATGGCAGGAAAGATTCAGTGCGACCAGATGCCTTGAAATGCACCTGGAACCCCAGGACGGCCTTTCCAGAGGGGCTGATACAGACTGGTCAACGTGGCAATGCCTGAGCAGCCTGCGCACGCCAGCGGGAAGATCAGAAACAAGCATGATCAAACACAAGTGACATGAATACAGGAGACTGCGGTGAAGTGCAGAGTAGACCATGGAGCACCTGCTGCTTTGCCAACTCCTTGTACAAAGGAGGGTCTTTCCTGCAGCAACAGGAAGAGCCATCATTTATGCATGGTTCTGGAAAAACGTCTAGCTTTCGACTGGGACGTGAGAAGTAGAAGAGTGTTCCAAGGCCTAGAGCACTGCACGTGTCTGCTAAGAGCCTCTAGGCGCGGTCATGAGTTTCCTTACTGGTGGGGTCAGAACAGAAACACCATTCAAAACTCTGCTTGGCCACGCTACCTGCAATACCTGGGAGAAGGAGGTAACGACAGGTGACTGTTCTCTATTCATTCTCCTGCTTCTTCTCGCCCCACCTCTACTCACTAGCAACAAGAACCAAACACGGAAACGCCAAAGTGGAACCTGTCCGCCAAGCAAAACTTGAAAAACTTTGGAGTCGGAAGCCAACTTTGACGGAAAGGGAAGGAAGAACTGTCCTTGAAATCAGCACTTCCACATGCATTGGGTCTGATGTTGTTTTAGACCAAAACTGAATGTTTGTAGCCAAATGAAACCAAAAAAAAAAAAAAAAAAAAAAGGGACAGTTCCAACATTTCTGGCCACAATTAGAATGGATGTTTTTCAGAGGGAAAAAAAAATGATTTTGAGAACCGCTGGAAGGTAATTTTTTTTCTCCAAGGAAATAAATTCCACTGAAGAAATTTATTAGTCATCATCTTCTTCCTCATTTTTTAGATGAAGCCAACAGATAGACATGAGGAGACCTGCCCCAGCCAGTTTGTGCAGTTAACAATAGACCCGGCAAGAGTTTT